AGCCCCCCGACCCGCACGAGACGGACCCCTCATAGCGATACTATCTGAACTGAACCGGTTTAAAGCGGTTTTATCAGCAGATGTGATGACGATAACTGGGAAACATTAAAAAATAACACAAGACACAGACTTATAGTCTTACAAATAAACGCGGTATAAAATTAAATTTTACTTCTTACTAATATTATAAATGTGAAAGTTTAGATGGATGGATGGATGTTTGTTAGAGTTTGTAACCTAAACGGCCGAGCTGATTTCGATGAAATTTGGTATAGATGTAGAGGATAGTCTGGAAAAACACATAGGCTACTCACTTTTGGGTTTTTTATTTCCACACGGAAGAAGACGTGGGCGAAAGCTAGTTAAAAGTAAATTGAGCATAAGATATATTAGTACAAGTTAATTTTTACTAATATAGCTAAATTTCTTATACTCAGTTTATTCCTAAGTATAACTTTATACCGCGTTTTTTTGAAAAACTGTATAAAATCTCTTTTTTTTTCACAAAAATCACAATTTAATATTGCAATTCGATTTTCTTTTTCTTCAAAATGTCGTTGCATATCTGCTGATATAAAACTTATTGACCTTGTAAATAAAATGTTTAGGAATAAAAAAAAAACTATATTTGTCAAACACCAAGAAGTCGGCCAGTGATGTCTGCTGTGTATAATCGCGTTATCTGTTGCTATCGTCAGGGTACCCTTCCATTTTATTTCACTTTCCGATAATTTAGGCTTTACGTATGCGCCTGTAATGTAGATCGAGTTATTGAACCCTAAGGATAACCGTGAAATAACTTCATAGCGTTCAAACTAATAAAACCATAAAAAAATATCTATATTATTTGAACTAATAAATGTGTTTTTTTTTTAATCTATTTAGGTTCAGAGTTATCAAGAAATTCGTTATTTTGTTTTTAACTTTATTATCCAAATAAGAAATTCTAAAATAATTGGCGTTTTTATTTTTCATACTTATGTTTTAAGATCTATGGTGTTATTTCGTGGTATCCAAATCTACAATTGGTATAATAAATTGAAACAATAAATTCCAGAGCCCATGTAGGTTTTTTAATAATGAAATGTGTAGTTACGAGTATTTTAGGCTTAATTTGCCGTGATATTTACTTTACGTATACTTCATATTCGTAAATATGTAGAATATGTTGGAACGAGCTTTCGTCATTAGCGGTGTATACGGACTTGTGTGTATTTATAACAATAGAAATAATATTGTAATGATTAAGCGGATTCCAATTGTATTTATATGTCTATTAGGTTCTTTTTAGTTTAGCTAACAAAGTATTATTAAATGTTTTAATGCTGTTTGAATTTATAGGTTATGTTACGCGTGTAAAAAATATTCATAATCTGTATCGCGGGTTCACAGATAATAAATGAGATGTCTGTCATTTTTCTTTTTTATTGTGTGCAATTTTTTTGTTTAATTGCGAATAAATGCTATTAAAATAAAAAATAAGATTTTCTCTGTAATGACAATACTGTCTAAAAAGGACTGAACCGAGAACATGTTTTAAAAATAAGTGTAAATTGTAAATGTTACACTAATCTTATTAGTTGCCATTTGATTTGAATAACAAACTCAGTACATTTTTTTGTCAAAGTATCTTCAAGTTTTCCGTATTTCTTTTAAATTTCCCTAAAAAGTCATTGGATTATTATTTAGTTAATAGGATTGTGTGTTTTAATGCAGATTTATTTTTGACATTTAAAATACATAAGTATGTATTTTTTAATTTAAGATAATTGTTTTATAATAACTGGGCCTAGTCTTCTATATTATTAAAATCGATTGGAAATCATTGTGTCATAAATAGTTATTTTGTTAAACGCCATGTTATATTGTGTAATACCGTGTGACGTCACTATCGAAACACTTGAATGAAATATCGTCGCCTCACTCATACACCTTGAAAAGAACAGAGATGGCTATTTTTTTGTAGGTGTTTCGTCAGGGAACCCACGGAACGTGATCTATCGTTATTAGATGTAGATGTGGAAGTGTAATGTTGTTAATGTTTTAAGATGAAAAAATGAATAATAACTTTTGTAAAAACTGAAATTTTTTACAATGTCTTCAAACATTTGTGGTGGACAACTCAAATGGGAGTTGATGAATTCGCAAGGACCCCGAAATTATAAACTATTTGTCGTCAAAACATTTATTTTTATAAAATAAATGAGGTTTCAAATTTATTTACAATTTGTTTCAATTTAACAATGTCAACTCAACGAAAATGACCCAATAGTTTAAAAAACATCGTCATTGTTTAAAAAAAAATTAAACTCAAGGCAGATTAACTCAAAGGTACAACAATAAGACATGAAAACATTTATTTTTCTAAATTAAGTGCTTTATTTATTAACAAATAAAAATGTTTAGACTCAATCTACATTACATATTACTGTTTCTAAAATCAAAATAATTAAAAACTATTTTTAATCTTTACTTATTTATTGATAAAGAAACGCAGAAGGAGTACGGACAGGTATAAGCCTCGTACTACCATTTGCGGTATCAAAAACCAAATATTCCCGTCCATTTATGATTTTCCTTTGCGCCCTATCAGTTATCTTGTTCTGTTTCCCGCCAAAAAGCGAGTCGTACGGCGGCGGGCGGCTGTCGTCGTAGCTATGGTTGACAAACCTAACTCGAGATTTCTTCCTTTTTCGTCTATCATCCTTGTTTTTATTAATATTTCCATTCATACATTTCGATCGTTTGATAAATACCTGAGAAATTAAAAAAAAAATCTTGCAACAATTTATAAGCTAACAAAAATAAATCTTCAATTATTAATGGAATACGATACTCATACCGCACAAAACAGAGACTAGTAGCCGAATACTGAAATATTTAAATACTAGCCTTCGCCTTTATCCGTTTGAAAGTTTAAAAAAAAGTAAGTAGCCCATGTGTTCTTCAAGACTGCCAAATTTCATCAAGATCCGTTCAACCTACAAACTCTAACAAACTTACATCTATCTAGACTTTTCAATACTACTGAAATATGATGTAATTATTTAAAATGATATGGCCAAGCTTAATTCCAATCCGACATCTGACAGATTGTAAGCGGCGTTTATGGATGAAAATGTTTTCGATTCGTTTCTCGTATTCAGCGCATATAATAAAAAAAGAAAATCATAGCGGCTGCAAACATGTTAAAATCTATCAACAATATTAAATTCCCCTCGCTCTCTCTCTCTCTCTCTCTCTCTCTCTCT